TTTACAACTTCTACAGTGACCTACAGTAAAGTTTTAGACAAACTTCAAAAAAACTCAGGTTCCAAACGGTTATTTGAACCTACCTATATATGTGTATATGATTGGTTAGGGTAACCAGTACCCAAAATTCAATCTCTAACTATTTAGTCCTTTACTTGTAAATTAAGTTAGGAGATCCATTGCACATTTATATTTTCTTTTTGACTTATGAATTAAACCAGTTAATATTAACTCTCTGCTACATTTTGTCAAATGTTACATTCATTGTCACTAATTCCATTCACTCCACTACATTCATTGTACTTTTCCTTTATTCAAAATTACTTTTCCTTGCTCATAATATCAATATCTGTTTATTTGATCTACTTACTTTTGTTTTTAAAAAGTTTTGACCTATCCTGTTTGGTTGTGGAGCAACCTACTGTCGTTGAAAAATGGCTTGGTAGTTTTAAGAAATGGAGAAAAGGAAACAAAATGTTTAGAATATTCAGTATTTTAGTTATGTAATGTGCATAAATTATGTAATATTTTAATCATGTATTTTGTTGATGAGTTTCTAGAGTGGTCGACTGTAGGCTCTTGTTTAATTTGGACAAGTATTGTGTTATTTTTTTAGATATTTCTATTTTTTCCATCTAATTATATGAGGGTTAGATTACCCTGTACACCCAACATTTTAGATGTTTTGGGCTTGGCAAACTTTTTTTTTTCCCATTTTTTCTTCAAAGGGTGAGATTTTGAAACACTTTGAGCACTTGCTACAAGAGCTCCAAGGGTTTTATATTGAACAATTAAAATTTAAAGTATTGGTAGAGAAAGTTCATCCAGTCCGTGGAGATTATAATGCATGATGCATTCCTTTAGTCTAACAGGGTTCATCTTCCTGTATGCAAGGGTAAAAGAAAAAACAAATGTTCTTCACAAATTGATTATAATTCAGGTACAAATATTAAGAAAAAAATTGCGAAACACGGAAAATGCAATGTATTATTGTTCATAGAATTAGTGCACTAACAAAGGTTCCAAAATAATGTATGATTTGGAGTAATTTAGTCAGGAGATCAATGTGTAAACTAGGGATCCAATTATTTATGCACCCTGAAGCTCCTTTGGAGGGTTTTACCCATATTATGGGTAGTAGTGGTTATCCCTCCAAAATTGTGACTGAAGATATTTGACGACATTCTTGTCAACCTGGAATGCTTTAGTGAGAACATCACGAGAAATGGGAGGCTTTGATCCGAAAACAGCATTAGCAATGGTGATGACTCCAGGATTCTGGCTGCTTAGACCAGCAAAAGCAACAGCATTGGAATGTCCCTTATTGAACTGAAAATGAATGAGGCCTTCAGGGAACAGAAACACATCTCCTGGATTCAAAACCTTGGTGAAGAGCTTATTCTTCATGTTCATGCCTGGATTCGAAGTAACGAAACCAACAAGAAGAGTGCCCTCTAAAACAACGAGGATCTCGGTAGCACGGGGGTGAGTGTGGGGAGGGTTCAAACCATAAGGTGCAAAATCGATGCGTGCTAAGGAAACACCTAAAGTGTTGAGTCCTGGAATCTGGTTGACATTAACTGTTGTTACATTCGATCCGAGCGGATTTGATGTGCTTCCAGGCTCGTTAAGCCCTGGAAAGAAGAAATCTTCAGCTTCCACAAGCTTTGGATCCTTGCATATCTTTCCATTCACAAATACTGCATTAGCCAAGATAAAAAAAAAAAAAAAAAGTTAGTATGTCACACATTAACTGGCATATTAGTGTTTTTTTTTGGATAAGTAATATAATGGTACCAATATAAGACAGTCATGAAAATTTTAAAAACAATATAGTTTACCGCCAGCATTGGCATCAGGAACTGCGACACAAAAATCTTGCAATGGACTTGGATCAGATGCATGGACAATTGTAAAAACAAGTGCCAAGATGGCTGCGGCTATGTGGAAGCGAAAAGCCATGGTTATCAGAAAGGAAGTATCAAACTATATCAGCTAGTTAGAGAGATGAAAAGTTGTTTCTTCTCAGATTGTGGGTGAATATGTGGTAAAGATTCCTATTTATAGCTATCTTTGGTTGAACCAGTCATTATGTTTTCTTATCTCAACGATTAGAAAAATGCCACATTGTCTTCCTAATCTATTTTTGCACAACTCAACCAACGAATGATTCTGCAACAACTACCTGTGACTTCTCATTTTCTTTCCTATTGCAAGTATAGAAAGACTGATTTGGTCATTTAGGACATTTCCCACAAAGTGGTACACTGATACAAGGTGTTGACGGACCAAGTAACTGGTAAGACCTTTTCTTGAAGAGATGGCCTTTGATATTTCCTGCTTCCAGATGTTTACTTTCTTACCTCAGTAAAATGATGCATTAATTGCAACTAATCAGTTTGAAATTTGCAGACTCAATCCAGCTTTACAAAGTAGCATCTGGGATTAGCATGAAAGAATCAAATATATGGAAATCGTCTGGGAGTAAAGGACCTAGTTACTTCACATAATTATACAAAGATGGCTTAGAACTTGAATTTCAAACTTCTTTGGCAAAACCTATGATATGTAATTATATGTGCATATTTTAGCAAGCTGGAATACCAAGCATTCATTTCCTGTTTCCTGTCTGTGCAAATAATTCCTGCTTGCAGGTGACCTCTTTTCATTACCTGTTTCTTGTCCGTGTAACTCAGCGCATTTCTGGACTTTTTCTTTCCAAAATCATCTCAGAACTTGCCAAATTGCAGCTTGGAAGTTCAAAGTTAATTCTACCTTCTAAGTGACTGCTTAACCTTCTTAGTTTGATATTGCCGTGTTCTATTTAAGCTATTAAATATTGAAAAAGAAAGGAAGATGTAACCCTTGATTAATTATCCAAAATTTTGGATGAAACCAATTTCAATTCACTCAATTCAATTGAAAATCCAGATTTCAAACCCATTAATTACCCTATTAATTATTGGAGTAATTTATATTTTCATTTACATCAAAATGAGTGAATTATTTGAAGTTAAAATCAGGTTTATGGTTCGACGACTGGGTTTGATAACTGGAAGTAGAAATGGTGTAAAAAGGGATGGGAGGGTTAAAAAGAATATCTGAAGCTAAAATCATAAATTATCGTGCTCATTTATATGATTTGTTCATCTTGAACAGACATTGACTTGAATACTTAGGAAAATTTTCTTGTAAGACTAAAAGAACTAATTTTAAAGAATATTCATATTAAGCACACTTGTAGAGAATTATCATATGTATTAATCAATCAATTATAATATTTATTCAACTTAATTTATACGATCAGGAAAAATAGTTTGAAAGGGAAAATGATACTTTTCCTCTCCAATATTTAGTGGTTGGAAAAATTTCATCCACAAAGTTTCGTTGCGAATACATTTAGTTCCTACAAATTTAATTTATAATCAATAGTACAAGTGATAGCAAATCAACCAATTTGGGTAGAAAAAAAATTGACAAATAGCTCGTTTAGTCCCTCAACTCTTTTTTTTCTGTAAATTATTTTTTTCTTAATAAATAAAAAATGATATTTTATTTTATCCTGTTTAATGCTTCTATTTTTTTTTCCAACCCCCAGAAGTACTTTTTTATTTCACTTCCTTCAACCTTCAAATGCGACAATGTTGGTGAATATGACCAAAATTTCAAACTTTCTTTAAAAAAAGAAAAACTTCACTTTTCTTGTTGTTTTTTTTAATTTTCTTTTGTACATAAATTCTTTGTTTTCCTTTTTACTTTCTTTTGCTATTTTTGACACTTTCCTTTCTCCTTTTTCTCTAGTCCCTGATTTTTTTTTCTATTTAGTCCTTTTATTTTTTCCCCTTAAATACCATTTGCCAGAAAACTTTTTCCATCACCAGACTCGGTGGCTTAAAAGGGCATGACAAACTGTTCATATTCTCTTTCAAAAAAAGGAAATCTATAATTTTTTTTGATTTCTTTTTATGTTATTCCTTCATTTTCTTTTCTGCATTCTTAGTTTAAGAATCTTATTAAATTAGAACTATAGATGCGTGTTAAATAATATTTACTCAAATTTAAAAATTTTCATTTGCACATGTAGCATGCATTCCAATCCCACTCGTATTAAAAAAAAAAACTACTACATTGAAAATCTAAACATTAATTCTTTTCTTTTTATATAATTTTTTCCCTTTCCTTTTTCAAAAGAGGAAGAAGAGGCAGCACGAGTGATAGATGCGGAGTAGATAGAGGAAGAGTCTGAATTATTGAAAAGGGAGAGAGAAGCTGCCAAGATTACTTTACAGATGATGGACATAGATGATTTTGTTCTCTCTCTAATTTGAGATTGAGCTTGAGGACAATCTAATGGCTACATCTTAGTTGTTAGGTGAATTTCCAATTATACTTCTTTTCAGTATATTGAATATATTTCAATGGTGTTAACAAACTCACATATTGATATTTTTGTTTGCGCAATGGTTTTTATTTTATTTAATATTTTTTTGGCGTGAGATTTTGCAGCGCTTTGAATTAAGGGTGCAAACGAATCGAATTGAGTCGAGATTTGGTCTAATCGAATCGAGTCTCAACTTAGTTTTATGAAACTTGAATTCGAGCTCGAAGTTTGACGAGTTCAAAATGTAAAGTTCGAATTCGAACTCAACTAAAATTCGAGTCAAGCTCAAACTTAAAAAAAAATAATTATTTTATTTTAAAAATGAATAAAATAATAATTTTTCAAAATAATATATATATATATATATTTATATAATCTAGTTAGCTCGCGAGTTAACGACTTGAATATCTTTGAGCTCGAGTTTGACTTGATCAGTTCAAGCTCAGATTCGAGCTGCTCGCGAGCTGTTTGATTCATTTGCAGTTGAACTTCAAATACTTCTTACAAGTGCTCCAAAGATTTTTCATTGCACAATGAAACTATGGTAAGAAGAATTCATCCAATCTGTGGAGATACGTTCTTTTAATCAGACAAAATTCATCTTTCTAGAATCCAAAAATAAAAGAAGACAAATGTGGTTCATATATTGATTATATCACAGGGTACAAAAAAATTAAGAAAAGAGGTAGTGATTTATAAGTTGCATTTTCCAGTAAGGTGGGAAAATGCCAATGTATTAATCTATGTAGAACCATTGTAGTAACAAAGGGGCCGAAATAATGCTGGATTTTGGAGTAATTCCATATGGAGATCAAAGTGGAAATGACCCAATTATTTATGCTTCAACACATTACTGTTGCACCCCGAATCTCCTTTGGTTTCAAGAGTTACCCATACTACGGGTAGTTGTTATCCCACCAAAATTGGGACTGAAGTTTTTTGATGACATCGTTTCCAACCTGGAATGCTTTGGTAAGAACATCAGGAGAAATCGGAGGATCTGATCCGAATACAGCATTAGCAATGGTGATGACTCCTGGATTCTGGCTGCCTAAACCAGCAAAAGCAACAGCATTTGAATGTCCTTGGTTGAATTGGAAATGAATGAGGCCTTGGGGGAACACAAACACATCTCCTGGATTCAAAACCTTGGTGAAGAGCTTATTCTTCATGTTCATGCCCGGATTCGAAGTAACGAAACCAACAACTAGAGTACCCTCCAAAACAAAGAGGACCTCGGTAGCGCGAGGGTGAATGTGGGGAGGGTTCAAACCATAAGGCGCAAAATCGATGCGTGCTAAGGAAACACCTAAAGTGTTGAGCCCTGGAATTTGGTTGACATTTACCGCTGTTACATTGGACCCGAGTGGATTTGCTGTGCTTCCAGGTTTGTTAAGCCCTGGAAAGAAGAAATCTTCGGGTTTCACAAGCTTTGGATCCTTGCATATCTTTCCATTGACAAATACTGCATTAGCCAAGATTCGACTAAGTTAGTTTGTCAAACATAGTTAGGATTCAAGTATATAACATGCAAGAGTCAAGAAATTTTTGAAGTAATCTAGTTTACCTCCGGCATTGGCATCAGGAACTGCCACACAAAAATCCTGCAGTGGACTTGGATCGGATGCATGGACAACTGTAAAAACAAGTGCCAAGATGGCTGCAGCAATATGGATCCGAACTGCCATGGTTATCACAAAAGAGGTATCAAACTATGTGAACTAATTAGAAAGATGGTAACTTGTTTCTTCTCTGGTGGTGGAAGGACATGTGGGAAAGATGCCTATTTATAGCCACTTTTGGTACGTTGAACTGGTCATTACATTTTCTCATCTTAAAGATTAAAAAAGGCCGCATTGTCTATGTGTACTATTTTTGCACAATTCAACCGACGAAAGATTCTGCAACCACTGCTTTCGACTTTGTCATTTTCAGTAGGACTGATTAATAGCATGTAAATGGACCTTTTCATTTCCTGTTTCTTGTCTGTGTACGTAACTTAGAAGGTGGATGGACTTTTTCTTTCTTTTTATGTTTGCAAAATCTACTCTGGACTTGCGTATATGCAGATCGGTAAGTTCTAACGTCTAGTGATTGCTTTTTAAATCACCTTGGTTTATTATTTCCATATTTTATTTAAGCTGTTAAATGTTGAAGAAAATATAGATGTAACCCTTGATTAGTTTTCCAAATTTTGGATGAAACCAATTTTCGTTTAATCATTCAATTCAATACCGGCCAACAGCCACTTGGGGATAAAGGAATCAAACTTTGTCTCCCACCCGTCACTACCAGCCACTATATGTGGCTTCGTCCGACGGTGGTTCCCATGCTACAAACAAATTTATTTCAATTCAATACCAGATTTTACACCTGTGTTTGTAGCCACATTCTGTGGCTTCCTTCATGGTGGTTCTCGTGCGACAAAAAAAAAAATTCAATTCAATACCAGATTTTACACCATGCTTGTTTATTTACCCAATCAAAGTTCATAGCAGTGTTTTGATATTTTCGTTTACTTCGTAGATTTGAATACTTAAAGTTAAAATTATAAACTATCTTAATCATTTGTATGATGTATTCCTTGAACAGACCTTGGCTTGAAAATTTGGGGAAATTTTCTTGTAAAAATTGAGATAATGAATTAAGTTTTTATGAATATTCATTAACCAACGTTGTAGAGAATTAGCACATGTATCAAAATATCAATTATAGTATTTATTAAACTTAGTTACTCATATATGATTAAAATGATAGTTCAAATGAAAAAAAAATGACACTTCTTGTCCCCCAATGTTAAGGAGTTGTAAATTTTCCGTCCCTAATGTTTCATTGAAAGCACATTTAGTCCCTATAATTTCAATATGCTACCAATTTATTAGAGCAAATCAACCAATTTGGATGGGAAGTTTTTTGCAAATAACTCATTTAGTCCTTTTACATTTTATGTAAAGTATCTTTAGTCCATGGTCTTTTATTTTGTCTCACTTAGTCTTTTTACATTTTTTCTAACACTAAACTTAGTTCTTATTTCACTTCCACCACCCAGCAGCGTTAAAAAGTCAGAATTTCAACTTTCTCCTCAACCAAAAATTCTTTAATTTTTTGGCAAAGGACGAGTAAGATTTAAGAAACGAGGGGGGGGGGGAAGATGTTTTGAACCTTGGGCTAATTAATACGGTTTAAATCTTAACACTACATTAAAGCCTCCTTGGCAAACTTTCTTCTCTTTTCTTTTGTTTTCTTTTTTCTATGTTATTTTTATTTTTAGTTTTTACTTTGTTCAACTATTTTCACTATTTTCCTTTCTTACATAATTTCTTGTTTTGCTCTAGTCCCCATTTTTTTTTTTTTTTTTCCATTTAGCACTTTTACTATTTTTTTAAGCACCAAAACTTCCTTTGCAGAAAAACTTTTTTCACCTTCAAATTAGGTAGCTTTAAAAGCATGACAAAAGGTTCGACTATTCTTTAGAAAAAAAAATCTTTTCTTTTTTGTCATTTCTTTTTAAATATTCCTTTTCCTTTTTTTAAGAAAACTATTTTCAACTATTTTTTGCTATTTTTGAATTAATCTTTTTTGTATTGTTAGTGTAGCAATTTTATTACACTAGCTAGTGTAGATGTATGCCAAATAATCTTTATTCAAATTTCAAATTCTTTCATTTGCACATATGGCATGTATTCCAGTTTGCTTGTGTAAAAAAATTGCTACACTAATAATATAGAAAAGATTAATTATTATTTTCTCTATAATTTCTTCCTTTTCTCTTTTATAAAAGAGGAGGAGGAAGAGTAACACGAATGAGAGACACATAGAAGATAAAGAAAGAGAGGGAGAGTGAGAAAGAGAGGGAAGCTGCCGAGACTAAATGTGTTCAAGAAAAGCTGAAAATGTGAGTAATTGAGATACCCCAAATTGGTCCAAATCAAAATATAGGGTAACTTACCTCAAATTTTGAAAATGGTTATGTTATCCGAATATACTTGACATAAATAGGTTGGAATATTGTTTTTTATTTTACAAAAACATGGGGGTGTTTGGAACCCAAGTTTTTGAGTAAGTTTGTTTGCTACTAGTTTTTATACAACTTTTGCTACAGGAACCCCAAAAAACTCAAAAAAACTCACGTTTGTTCCCTTGTTAGTCTTTTAGCAAAACGATGTCGTTTTGCCGCATCTTCTTTTGAAACCCCACGATTTGCCGAAAACACTGCTTGGACTGTTCCTCGTTTTTTCAACTCACAGAAGCGGTGCCCTGTACAGCAATTTACCCGGCTCACCTGCGCAATTTGGCCATTCGACATGGAGGTGATCGGAGCTTGGAGAAGCGGCGGGAAACAACTGCAGCTCTAACCTGCAGAGTAGAGGCGCTTGATTGGAAGGTGAACGAAGGTTCGGCTTAGCTGATTCAGTCCCTCCGACAAACGGCTGTGCCAGTCCAAAAGCAAAAGACTGCCGTGCTTCCGTTTAGGAAAGTTCCCCTCAGCCAGTAGCATAGATTTGAGCCAGCCACGCTTCAATTTTTGGAACTGAAACCGCAGCAAGCCAGAAGCATTTTCTGGATTTTTTTTGTTGATTACTCGTATATGGCGTGCTGCGGTCTTGGATTCTTTAAGGTTTTGGTATTAAATAAGCCAAAATTTGGAGAAAGGCTGCTGAGTTAATTGCCCTCCCCTCCGTTGATTTGTTATACTTGGTGTCAATTTCGGACAGAGTTGAAAGCTCCGTGTTGATTAATTTGGGTAATGTGTTAATTAATTCTTTAACATTGGTCTGTTAGAATTAATTTGAGTAAAGTTTTTAAAAAATTTGTGCAGTAAATTTTTTTACAACTTCTACAGTGACCTACAGTAAAGTTTTAGACAAACTTCAAAAAAACTCAGGTTCCAAACGGTTATTTGAACCTACCTATATATGTGTATATGATTGGTTAGGGTAACCAGTACCCAAAATTCAATCTCTAACTATTTAGTCCTTTACTTGTAAATTAAGTTAGGAGATCCATTGCACATTTATATTTTCTTTTTGACTTATGAATTAAACCAGTTAATATTAACTCTCTGCTACATTTTGTCAAATGTTACATTCATTGTCACTAATTCCATTCACTCCACTACATTCATTGTACTTTTCCTTTATTCAAAATTACTTTTCCTTGCTCATAATATCAATATCTGTTTATTTGATCTACTTACTTTTGTTTTTAAAAAGTTTTGACCTATCCTGTTTGGTTGTGGAGCAACCTACTGTCGTTGAAAAATGGCTTGGTAGTTTTAAGAAATGGAGAAAAGGAAACAAAATGTTTAGAATATTCAGTATTTTAGTTATGTAATGTGCATAAATTATGTAATATTTTAATCATGTATTTTGTTGATGAGTTTCTAGAGTGGTCGACTGTAGGCTCTTGTTTAATTTGGACAAGTATTGTGTTATTTTTTTAGATATTTCTATTTTTTCCATCTAATTATATGAGGGTTAGATTACCCTGTACACCCAACATTTTAGATGTTTTGGGCTTGGCAAACTTTTTTTTTTCCCATTTTTTCTTCAAAGGGTGAGATTTTGAAACACTTTGAGCACTTGCTACAAGAGCTCCAAGGGTTTTATATTGAACAATTAAAATTTAAAGTATTGGTAGAGAAAGTTCATCCAGTCCGTGGAGATTATAATGCATGATGCATTCCTTTAGTCTAACAGGGTTCATCTTCCTGTATGCAAGGGTAAAAGAAAAAACAAATGTTCTTCACAAATTGATTATAATTCAGGTACAAATATTAAGAAAAAAATTGCGAAACACGGAAAATGCAATGTATTATTGTTCATAGAATTAGTGCACTAACAAAGGTTCCAAAATAATGTATGATTTGGAGTAATTTAGTCAGGAGATCAATGTGTAAACTAGGGATCCAATTATTTATGCACCCTGAAGCTCCTTTGGAGGGTTTTACCCATATTATGGGTAGTAGTGGTTATCCCTCCAAAATTGTGACTGAAGATATTTGACGACATTCTTGTCAACCTGGAATGCTTTAGTGAGAACATCACGAGAAATGGGAGGCTTTGATCCGAAAACAGCATTAGCAATGGTGATGACTCCAGGATTCTGGCTGCTTAGACCAGCAAAAGCAACAGCATTGGAATGTCCCTTATTGAACTGAAAATGAATGAGGCCTTCAGGGAACAGAAACACATCTCCTGGATTCAAAACCTTGGTGAAGAGCTTATTCTTCATGTTCATGCCTGGATTCGAAGTAACGAAACCAACAAGAAGAGTGCCCTCTAAAACAACGAGGATCTCGGTAGCACGGGGGTGAGTGTGGGGAGGGTTCAAACCATAAGGTGCAAAATCGATGCGTGCTAAGGAAACACCTAAAGTGTTGAGTCCTGGAATCTGGTTGACATTAACTGTTGTTACATTCGATCCGAGCGGATTTGATGTGCTTCCAGGCTCGTTAAGCCCTGGAAAGAAGAAATCTTCAGCTTCCACAAGCTTTGGATCCTTGCATATCTTTCCATTCACAAATACTGCATTAGCCAAGATAAAAAAAAAAAAAAAAAGTTAGTATGTCACACATTAACTGGCATATTAGTGTTTTTTTTTGGATAAGTAATATAATGGTACCAATATAAGACAGTCATGAAAATTTTAAAAACAATATAGTTTACCGCCAGCATTGGCATCAGGAACTGCGACACAAAAATCTTGCAATGGACTTGGATCAGATGCATGGACAATTGTAAAAAC